GCCGGAAAATTTCAGTACTGTCGTAAAAGTCTGTACTGACACTTATTTCCCCATAAAACCAACATATATGCATTAGATATTTTAAAAATGACTTTTTAAAATTGAGGGTCTGTTGACGATGACTCAATAAACTCGAGGGCTGGTGTCGTAACACGATCCTCGATTATTTTGTCTAATCGGTTTACTTACAACGGGCCAAAAGTGAGAAAATAAAATAAAAATTTAATTTTACGAGGACCTGGTGGGTTGGCTTACACGTCAAAATACAAGCCAATAAATTAAAGCTGGTTGATTTATTTTTTCGTTAAAAAATAGTCGGCTCGCTGGGTTAATATTTGACTACTGCACACATTGTTTTTGTTTGCACGGAACTCGCAGTGGGACTTACACCTGTAGGTAGAGAGCCAGAGCCCTGGCTAGTTTTATTTTATCGGGGTAAGCTGCGGTTAAACAGGTGACGAATTATTTTACTGAACTAATGTATAAACGCACCGACATCAACTGAGATCTTTATTTTATTTTATTTATGTGGAGAGCTCAATTTATTTATGATTGACGTGACCACCCTGCTTGCTAATATTTAGTGCAGTTCATTATTGTCGAGTGGGTGATCAAAACCAGACAATTCTACTTAATTATTATCACTTGTTTTTATTATTTTTAGATTTTTATTTTTACCTTCAAATTAAGTATTTTTTTTATTATAAATAATTAATAATTTTTTTTTTAACAAAACTTGGAAAATTTTTAATATTAAATTTTATTTTTAAAATTAGATCTTTAATTTTTTTGTACAAATTTTTACAATTTGTTTATTCAAATTTCCAAAAAAATTTATTAGAAGCGATTAATATTTTTTTTTTTTTAAGAAAAATTCTTATTTTTTTCAACATTAAATTTTTTTACAAATTTTTGCATTAAAATTAAAATGTTATTTTTTAACTTTAACAATTAATAATTTTTTATAATAGAATAAAAACTTATAGATAATTTTTTTAAATATTAAATTAAATCTGTAACTTTTTCTTGAAGAAAATTTTCTCAAAATTTCAAGGAAACATTTGTAATTTTATAGACTTTAATACAAAATCACACATATATTTAAAAAAAAAAGCATAAACTAAATTCGCTATTTCCTCCATCCGACTCCCAACATAATAAAGCGTAAGTGAATAGTAAAGTCTTAGGTCACGCGTCCGTCAGTTGGATCTCATATTTCAAGCCACGTCCTCGAAATCGAGCGCTCGACAAATGATATACTGCAGGAGTTAAGAGTCTTATGCCTCGTTGAGATCGTTCAGCTAAACTATTTTTTACTCCCTCTTTCTCTTTATCCTCACAATATTTTATTATTATTATTTATATTTTTTTCCACTCGGTTTTACGAGCGTAACAAGTGGAATAACAAACTCCAAATAAAATAACAAAATAGTTGAGTTTCACGCTGGGACTGTTATGCACTGCATGAGGATTTAAACTTTTAATTGCAGCTCACGCTGATCTCTAACAAAATCAAATTATTGTTACATAAACTCTGTTCTAGTTTAGAAATTGAAAAAAAATTTTTTTTTTTTTCACATTTTTAAAGTTTAGACCTTTGAAAAAATTTTCAAATATTTATTTTTCTCTTAAAAATTTTTTTTTGTTAATTAAAAATAGTTTAAAAGAATTTTTTTTGTTAAAAAAAAGTACAACTGTCCATTTTGCTAAAGCTCCCCGTATTTGAATAACATATATTTGCTTTTGATTATTAACCAAATATAAATAGGGCAAATGATAAGAAGGTGGTTGATAACATTTTTTTATCGCGAGAGATCGATGATCTTTACAAAGAATCAATTGGCATACCCTTTCTTCATGCCCTCGCTGTCCCTAGCTAGATATTTATTTATTATATATATATATTATAGAGGTACCGATTATCAATACCCTACATAATTACCATGGTAACCCGTACAGATAATCTTTATACTTTACATTCTAATAATATTTCACTATTTACTCTTTTTATGGGTAAATAAACAAACAACTATCGAACATTATTTAATCGTCTATTGGTATGTTATAATCAATTTCTCTGTTAAATTTTTTTTTATTTGTATTTTATCAATTTGATTAAGTGTAAAAAATCATTGGAAAAAAATTTTTTTAAAGACGTTCCGAGAAAAAAACATTTTCTTAAAATTTTTTTGAAATTTTCAGCACTTATTCTCATAAGTATCCTCTATACGCAGGAATTTTTTTAAATAGTCCTTGCGGGACTAAATTTTGAAATATTAGCATTTAAAATTTGTATAATTTACATACAAGCGAACGTTTTATTAAATATAAATCGTACTTTTCGTAGGATTGTTTTAAAAAACTGAGAATAATTAATTGAAGATATAACAAGTATTTTTTTATCAAAAATAACTTAACCAAGCAGTATTAATTTTTTTGTAAAAAATCTTTGAAGTTAGTGACTTTGGATATTTTACGTGAGTGAAAGTAAGTGAGCGATAGTCTGTAAAGAGAGGCAGGACTAGTGCGTGAGGAAGAAACCAATACCCATAACCTATTAGTGTCTTTTTCTTGTCTAGGAACGTCCTTAATTTGATCATGAATTTTATATAAACTTCAAATTTTTAAAATAAATTAAGAGTTGAGTTTCAAAAGGGTATATCTTTTCATTTTTGATTAATCGATACAAAACACTGGTTATCTTTAATTATAAATATTTTTATCGAGCTTTCTTAGTTCAGCTATAAAATGCTATCAGTTATGAAGCTACAATTCAATTTTCATTAAGAAATCTTTATAATTCTCGAAGTAACTAATATTTAAAAGTTCAAAAAACTGCTCTTTTAAATTATAAAAAAATACCCTTCTGAAAATCAGCTCCTTAAATATAAATTTAAAATAAACATTTTTTCAATAAAACTTAATAAATAAAAAAAAAGCTTAATATTAAAGTATAAGATAATGTTTCTAAATAATCGATGATGCTATCCATTATATATCTTAGTACATTAAAAGTGAAAGTAATTTCGAGTGACCAATTAAAGTAACTCAATAATTGCAGCACAATGAATCAACTGTTCATAAGATCGTCAAATCCAAAGATAATAAATAAAATCCGCCATAAAATTTCGGTATAAGCTCAAGATAAAAAAAAAAAAAAACTAAAAAGAGTTTTTTATACTTTTGATAAGAGAATCACGACAGCTGTAGTTTATGATCCTATTCTTCCGAAATAACGCTCGGGACTCCACGCGAAATCGTAATTCAAGGGAATTTATATCTAAATATATTTCTATATCTAAACCGAGTTTTTATATTATTATTATTATTATTATTATTATTATTATTATTATTTAATATAAACCCTCAAACTGTCAAAATTCATCCATTTATCGAGTCTATCTCTTCCGGCCTCAAATATTTACGGACATTTGCAAGCGTGATCGCTCTTTTCAGAAACCAGCGTACTTATTCTTCAATGAATTTAAATTAGAGATAACTGAGACACTTTAATAGCTCTGCTTATCGGCAATTAAAAAATCACCACTCATAAAAATCTTCCCAGAATGATAAAACATTTTTTCCAGAGTATCGCTCGCGATTTTTATTTTATACATTTGTTTATTATTTATTAATTTTATTATTAATATTAATATTAAAGTCATTGTCTCGGGTTATTTTTTTGTTAACCCTATTGCGTAACTTGCACATGTGACATATATTTATATTTTTATACGTATATATGTGTCTCCTTAATCTTGAGACGCGGATAAGTGGCATAAAATCTGTAACATTCCCACGTTCCTCAGACAGACTTTTGATAAGTCTATATTTACTCTCGCAATCCTATGTCAATTAATAAATTTCAAAATCAACAACATTTAATTATCAACATCAATTTTATTTTTTGTTAGTCATCTATATTACATTTAACATTTATTCAAATAACTATGTCTATTATAAATTATAAAATACAAGTACAAACAATTTTTTTTTTTAAATTTTATCCAAAAAATTGCACAGAATATTTTTTATTATTTTCAAAAATAATTAGTCTGGAATTTTTTTATTTTTCCATGAATCATCCATAAATTGTTAATAAAATAATAATAATTATTAAAAATAAAATATTCAGAGAGTTTGATTGGAAAAATTAAGAAATTGAATAGTAAAAAAAAAAATATCACTTCTAATAATAATAATAAGTAGTAAAAAGCGTCGGCTGGGCTGTCATGGAATGATGTCATGTCATGGAATCTATGTACTCACATGTATTACGTACTAATACACATTAATATATACTAATAATAATAATAATAATAATAATAATATAATACATACAGAGCTTAAGAAATTATCTAGTAAAGTTTTTATTTATTAAAATTAAAATTTATAATAAAAATTAATTAAATTTTTGGCTATCGTGATTAAGGATGTACGAGCGAGGTGGTAACTTAAAAAAAAAAGTTTTTTTCAATTTTTGGAACCAACAAAATTATTTTTAAGAGTTTTATTGTGTTAAACCAAGACAAAAAATTCTTGAATTTTTTTATTGAATAAAATTCATTTTTTTTTCGGTAAATAAATTTTTTTACAAAATTGTTTTTAATTTTGGAATAATTTCTAAAAATTGTCACATTTTTTAATTTTTCCCCCAAAAATTTTCTATAAATTTAAAAAAAATTTTGAAGATGAAAATAAATATTTAAAAAATGATTTTAAGCCAAAAAATTGATACTTCATTTAGAAAATTAAAAAATATATTGAATTTATGTTACTGCGCAGCAGTCAGTGCACATCCCCACCCTAGTACCCGCCCATACTCCTTAATAGCAGGTTATTAATCGTAGAATTAGGTCAAATAATTTAAAAATAAGAAATTGATATTAATATTAATATTAACAAAAAGTGATTTATTTTTTTATTATTTATTATTTATTATTTATTATATTAGTTAAAATTTAATATTTATATTAAGATTATGTTAAAGTTAGTGTGGATTATAAGTAATTGGGCCAAGTTTCGATGCTAGGTACGTAGCGATGGCTCGCGTACTGCATGTAAGGACTGTTAACATGAGAATGGGTGACCTGGTTGTTTGAATGTGGGTGGTGAGGCGCGGAAATGTATTGTACCGAGGGCAAAGGCGGCTGGAGCTCGTGATAACGTATCATGTCCTGTCGATCTTCCCAAGAGACTTCGGGTATTGATTCCGAGCAGAATCTTTTGTTGGGTCTGTCGTTGTCTTCTTCATATCTAAACAGATAAATTTTTTTTTTTAATAAAAATTTGAAATTTAAATTTCAAAAAGTTTATTGAATTTACCGATTTATCAGCCAAGGGGACGGATTCGCAGAGGGATTCTGGTACTGATGAACGGAGAGCACTTGCTGGGGGAGATACTGGTCCAGCTCGCTGCTCTCAACTTCGCATTCTTGAAGATTGAGGGGCAAATTTAGGTTCACTAGGGGGCTGAGGCTGCTTATGGGAGGCTCCTCGGCCAGGGGGACCTCGGTCACGTCGATGAATCTACTCAGGTCCATGGTACTCTGCTGTTGAGAAGAGTCGGACATTGAGGAGGCTGAAAGCTCTTGCTGGTAATGGATGTGTTGCTGGTGTGTCAGCGCCTGTAATTTTTTAATTTATTCATTGTTATCTTTGGTTAAGAATTTTGAAGGAGGAATTTTAAAAATTTTTTATCTTAAGGTAGGACTGTCGGTACTAAATCTGGCGAAATTCAAATTTTTATTACAAAGCTTAGTTTAACATTCTAAAATGCTCTATCTCTAGATACATAATTAAGAAATGACCTTGTATCTTGTGAACTATTGACATTTTTAAAGATATAAGCTCATCCTGATGTTACACTTATCAATACCTTTCATTTGAGTACCCACATCAATTTTTCATATATTTTATATATTACATATATAAAATATATGAAAAATATATATATATAAAATATATAAAAAAATACCATGTGGGTACTCAAATGAAAGGTCTCGATGTGTGTAACATCGAGATGAGCTTATATCTTTAAAAATGTCAATAATTAAGAACTGACGTTGCTATCTTCTCAACTAATTATATTTTTAAAGATATAAGCTCACCCTGACATTACATTCATCGAGAGCTTTCATTTGAATACTCACATCAATTTTTCATATATTTATATATATTATATATATGTATATATGAAAAATATATCAAAATGCATGTGGGTACTCAAATGAAAGCTCTTGACGAGTGTAACATCGGGATGAGCTTATATCTTTAAAAATATCAATAGTTAAGACAGTACAGTGCAATTTAACAAAAGTCACTATTCAATAAAGCAAAGTTTTATATATTTGTAGTTCATAAGTCACGGCAGTCATTAAATTTGTATTTCTCAAATTTTTTTTATTTAAAAAAAAATCAGTCAATAAATAAAATGATCTATAACTATCTCTCGTAAAAAATTTCTAAAAATAAAACCAAAGGCTGAACATATACAAAGCGAAAAATGATTGACGGGTCAATAAAAAGTAATTGAGATCGTGATATATTTACGATTAACCAGATATGTAATATAAATTAAAACGTTGGATTAAACATCTGTTTAATTACACACCTGATTGACAAAGTGGTGCCCTCGAGGCGTCGTCGGTGGTGTAGGAGGTGACAGGCCTTGATTCGGCGTCGTGGGAGGCGAGGAACTCACTCTGCTTTGCGGGGAATTCGGAGCTTGGATGCCGCGCGGGCTCAGGTCTTCTTGCTTCAGTGAGCTCGTCACGAACCCCATATTTCCTCCCTGCTGTCCTTGGTTGTGATGATGGCTTAGGTGATGATTATGATTGTGATTATGATTAAGATGATTGTTATTATGATTTAGATGATTGTTATTTTGATTGTGATGATTTTGGCCGGCGTTGGACCCGCGGGAGGGTGAATTTTCGCGACCAGGTCCGTTTTGCTTCCTGCGTCTTGGCTGGTACTTGTAGTCAGGATGTTCCCGCTTGTGGATCACTCTCAGCCGGTCTGCTTCTTCGATGAAAGGTTTTTTGTCGTTCTCCGACAGAAGTCTGAAGCAGAAAAGAGCGATTGCATGTCAGTGGATTGAAATTTTGCTCGCGGAAAAAACATTATCCGGATACGCGACGCAGCTCAACTTAACTCAAGGGTTTCTGGTTAGTGTTTCGACGGTGGTGATACTTGTTCCGAAGCATTAAGGGCTACTTGAACGGTATATTACTTGTGTCGTGTAATGTATCACTTGTCACTTTTTGTTTTTTTTTATTTATCGGCCGAAAAGAGAAAAAGATTGTTTATTTTTTGTATAATATTTAATACTTTATTTAAGTTTTAAATAACAAAGAAATTACGTTGCATTTTGTCTACTGATGATATTTTTAACGATATAAGCTCATTTTGGAGTTACACTTAACTAGACCTTTCATTTGAATACCCACATGATATTTTTTATATATTTTATATATTTCACAAATATGAGAAATATCATATATATAAAATATATGAAAAAAATCGTGTTGGTATTCAAATGAAAGGTTTTGATGAGTGTAACATCAGGATGAGCTTATGTCTTAAAAAATGTCAATAATTAAGAAATGAGGTTGTATTTTGTCTACTCATGATATTTTTAACGATATAAGCTCATCCTGGAGTTACACTTATCGAGACCTTTTATTTGAATACCCACATGAAATTTTTTATATATTTTATATATATGGTATTTGTGAAATATATAAATATATAAAATATATGAAAAATCCATGTGGGTACTCAAATGAAAGGTCTCGATGAGTGTAACTCTAGGATGAGCTTATATCTTTAAAAATGTCAATAATTAAGCAATGACGATGTATTTTGTCCGCTGATGATATTTTTAACGATATAAGCTCATCGTGGAGTTACACTTATCGAGACCTTTTATTTGAATACCCACATGAAATTTTTTATATATTTTATATATATGGTATTTGTGAAATATATAAATATATAAAATATATGAAAAATTGATGTGGGTAGTCAAATGAAAGATCTCGATGAGTGTAACTTCAGGATGAGCTTATATCTTAAAAAAAGTCAATAATTGAGAAATGACACTGTATTTTGTCCAATGATGTTATTTTTAATGATATAAGCTCAACTTATTTTTTCCATATAAAAAAATAGCATCAAATAATTTAAAATATCACTAGTAATATTAAAAACTCATACTTTTACTATCATTAAACTATTCCACCCTCCTAAGCATAAAATCCAAACAAAAAGATAAACTATGATATTATTTGCCGTGAAAAAACAAACTGGTATCGGTATCAGTGATCCTTGGCGCGTGCTTGCAGCTGCCGGCAGGAAACTTCCCGATACAGCAATTCCGATAAGAACCCATGTATATAATACAACATAAAATAAAATAATGATAACCATAAGACATATAGAACCCGCGCTGGATCTTTCCAGGTAAGAGTTTACAATAAACTCGTTGTCGCCGTCAGGTGAATTTTCTAAGCCTGATGGTGAAAAACAAACATCCAGGAACCACAAACAGGTAGTGGGTTTTAATTTACCAAAGTTAAATTTCAAATGAAATAATAACAAGATAAGACGGAACGGCTCGTGTGAACGACCCTCGCTCGAAAACCCAAACTCTTTTCTTATTTGGCTATTATTATACATATATAGTATGATTCTTTCCGACATCTGATGGCTCAACCGCTCTAGACATGGTAGTAATAGTACAGTATGATCCTGCAGTGCATCATCTGGCAGCAAAAACCGAAAAATATCCGACCGCCGCTATCGGGGTTAAAAAAAATGTCTCAAGTCCATTGACCAGATGCTCGAGTTTTTTTGCTACTTGCTACTTCAAATTCTTCTGTTAGAAAAAAATTTCATTAAATAACTTCAATTTTTTTTTTTTTTTTTTTTTATTATTTTGCATTATTTTATATTTAATAAAAATTATTTTTTAATAAAAAAAGTAATTATTAAGCAAAAAAATTATTTTTTTAAAGGACGGAATTTTCATATATGCAACGAGCAAAGTGTGTGTGCTTAAACACGAGTTGCAAAAATTTTTTCCAACTAATTTATAAATAATTTAATGTAATTACATAATTAATAATATTTTTTACAATCTTGTGATAAAATAAGGAAATGCAAAAATTCTATTAAAAAAAAATTCTTTATATAATAATAATAAAAATAAAAAAAAAAATAATAATTAGTTGATATTTTCTACAATAAAAAAAAAAATCTCATTTTTTTGAGAAATTATCAATTTTTAATTTTATAATTAATAATTTCTCTTTAAAATTAATTTGTAAGAAATTATTAATTAAAATAATATAATGATTATTAATTTAATTAATAATTATTATTATTATAAATTAATAAATAATAATTTTTGGATTAAATTATTAGAAGCTAAATATCAATTATTAATTTAAAATTCTTCATTTTTGAGCACTTAAAAAAAAAATTGACAGTTTTTTAGTCAACAAAAAAAATTTCAAGAAAGTTTATCGGCAATAATATATAATTGAGAGCCTAAAATATTTTTCGCGTAAATTTAAACTCGCTAAGTGCCGGTCAAACTCATATCCCAGGTGCTAAATAATTATCCGTTCCTCTAAAATAAATCCTACTATCCCCATGGCACACACCAAGTGGAATAGGTACCTAGGTAGACTTCCGAATAACGTGAGAAACAAAAGTACTCTCACCTTTCACCTCCAACCTCCAAACGCGTTTGCTCAATTTAAAAATACAAACATTCATATAACACGGCTTTCTCATCGTTATATTATATGATACATGACTAATGTACTGACTGTGATTGTCAATATCAAAATACTCGAGACTCGAGACTCGAGACAAGACCACATATATAAACTGTTATTATAGATACAGATACATATGCTTGAGGATATAATTTGATCAGATACAATATAAGATTAAAAAAAATAACTTAAATGATACAATAATACCCAGCGGGATATTCTGTCGGCGGGTTTCTTTCTAACGCGATGGGGATTCTCGTTAACTCTGTTAATCTGTCGATGATAAAGAAAACTTTAATGATTATTATCATTATTACTCGGAGGATTTTAATTCTCATGGTTTCTTTTGTCGAGGATTATTAGGACGACGATTAGTTTCCGCCAGTCACCAAAAGGTCGCTGACTTAAACCCTATTTTAGGCTTTTAACATTTCATTCTACGGATTGACATCTCTACTCATATCAATTTTTATATTTAATTGTTGAGGTAACAAACAAGTTGTTACGTTACATTACTTTTTTTTCTAATATTCTAATTAAACTCCCACGCTTTGAGAGGACAAATTATATTTTTTCATCTACTAGATAATGTCATCTGTAAAAAAGAAAGTTATCTTCTACTAATATTATTTGTGGCAAAATTAGGTATAAGAAATTTAATTATAAAAATTTTTTATAGTTTGAAATAAATTTTTTTTAAAAATATTTTTATATTTTACATATATTTTTTATTTAATTAAATTTTAGTTAAGATTTATACAATTGATTAAAACGAACTATTAAAAATATATATTAAAAAAATATTTGATATAAAAAAAAATTTTTTTAAATTAAGCAAAAAAATTTTTAATATCAAGAAAATTTTTTTATTTAAAATTTTTCTACTTGTTTTAAAACCTTTAAAATCATCAAAATAATTTTTTTTATTCAAGAATTTTTATCAAAAATCAAGAGAAATTTTTTAGTTTGATATTCTGTATTAATAATTTCAATATAAATTATTTATAATAAAATATCATGGGAATTAAGTGTGATTGTAATACCCATTTACAAGAGGGAGAGAAAAATGAAATTACCCTAATAAAATTACTCATGCTCCGAAGACCAAGACGAAGAAGAGTAAGAGTCCGCGGCAGAATCAAACCTGTGAGAATTTGTTTATCTGATTGGCCGTCTGGGGCTCGATACTATACCAGGCGACTGAAACGAAGAGCTCATAGCTTCACTCACATTAAACATTAACCGGATCCACATGGGATTAATGATTAATGCCGATTACAAAACGGATTTGAGGATTTTAAATACTGGGAAGGCTATCGGGGGATCTATAGCTTTTCTGCTTTTGATACCGATTTAATGTGAAATGTGCGAGTATGAGATTCTGAAGAATCTGGGCAGACTGCAAATAGATATGTGTGTGAATATGTATGCCGTGTGTGGTGTGTGGTGTTGGTTCTATTCCACCATTTTAATCTGCAGTTTCTTCGTGTCAGTGCAAATTGACCGTTTAGTTTCTAAGTGCGTATATCCACGCCCATTTCTCTATGGCGCATGCACTTTTATGCACAATTTAATTATTATGCAATTTATATTCATATATTTCATCTATTCAATTAAAGTAATTTTTTTTTTTTGTAAAAAAATAATAAATAACTTTAACATGTCTAAAAAAATTAAATTGTTTGACAACAAAAAAATTTTTGTAACTAGAAAAAAAAATATTTTTAATTTTTATTAATTAAAATTAATAACAAATAACTTACCTCCACAATTTACCAAGAGTTTTGGACAACTCGGCGTTATGAAGCTGTGGGTACTGATCAGCGAGTTTTTTCCTCGCGGCCTGGGCCCATACCATGAAGGCATTCATCGGCCTTTTAACATGCGCCGCTCTTTTATCACTTGTTCCTCTGAAAATAAAAAATAAATTTATAAATTTTTACTAAACCTATTTATTGAATTTTTTAATAAAAAAATTTTTTTTAATTGTTATTATTAATATAAGACTCCGAAAATTTTTTAAGCAAGACAGAAAATAATTAATTTAATCCAAAAATTGATTGAAAAAAATTAGATCGTGCAAATTTTTGGTTTTAAATTGAAGAAACTTTTATATTAAAAGTATCAATTAAAAGAATAATTATATTGATGATATTGGAAAAAAAAAAAAAGTATTTTGTATGGACATCATATCAGGGTGACTTGTATAATTTCTCGCGAAGGATAATCATACACATACATACATGTAAAGACGTGGTATAAAGTTTTTAGTGGCTGGTAACCACTCGAGTGGATACTCTAAGCTTAAAATAACACGACACAAGTGTACTAAGCCCTTTTATTTATTTCTCAGAAGATGACTTCATAAAAGTTTAACGTATATAGATGTAACGTCAAGGATGATGTGCTTTTGAGTGACATCCTATCCACCCTCACGATATTACATTTTTTTTATCAACAAAAGAAGTAGCGACAGAATAACTGATGACAGAATAATGAAATTGCAAAAAATTTATTTTTAAAAAATTTATTCACGCAAATATTAAATATTTTATGAGTGAAAATATATTTTTGGTAAAAATTCATTTTTGGACGGTAGCTAATCCGCGACGGGGGTGTTAATCCGAAGGTAAACGGCAAAAAGCAAGGAGCTGCGGGTGATTAGCGAGAGTTTACTAACAAGAGTCTCTATAGTCGCGACATATTTTTGCGTGTTACCTCTTATCTTCTTCTACACTCGGTTTACGCGGCTGGGTAAAATTAAATGGACAAGGTAAACTTTGGCGTACGAAAAATACAACACAGAGTGTTTGCTTGGTGATTAAGCTCATTCAAACTTCAAACTTAATTGTCGACGGCTGCGATGTGTAATCGTCGAGGACTTCATACACTCCCACTGATTATTCCCACGTTTTCGTTATCGGGCTTCGGATCTCGGAGAAGGTTTGATACGTTTTTTATTGTTAGCGATAACCCTCTCGGATATTTATACAAAATGATAGTGATAAGTTAACTGGCGCAGAATATTTTACATTTGTTTCTTTTGAGAAATTTAAAGTTATTTCGCGAATTTTATTGCCAAATTATTTTTTGATAATTAATATCATTTTTTTTTTTATTAAAAATTAAATTGTCTACAATATAGAAATCAGTAAAAAAATTCTAGACTCTTAAATAAAACTTTTGAACAATTTATCCTACAAAATTATTATCAAGACAAAATTTGTTGCAAATTTAATTTTCTACAAATTTTGTTTAAAAAATGTCCGAAGACCATTAGTTCCACAGATAAAATCATTTTCAATTTTTGACAAGCATTAAAAATATTTCCAAATATTTTAAACCATCGTAACTTTTGAAAATTTAATCCAAAAAAATTTTTTTGGGGCAAAAATTGTTGTTAATTAAATTCTATTCTATTTTTGTTTCGATAAAAAATTTCTTAGAATCAATATTTTCAAAGATAAACCTATTTTCAATTTTTTACAAGCATTACAAAAATTCCCAAATATGAAAATATTTAAAATTCATCGTAACTTTTGAAAATTTAATCTCAAAAATTTTTTTTTCGGACAAAAACTGTCGCAAATTAAATTTTCTTCAATGTTTGTATCTATGAAAAATCTCTTAGGACCAATAGTTTCAAAGATAAACGCACTTTCAATTTTTAACAAGCATTACAAATATTCTCAAATATTTTAAATCATCGTAACTTTTAAAAATTTAATCCCACAAATTTTTTTGGAACAAAAGTAATTGCAAATTAAATTCTCTTTAATTTTTGCCTATAAAAAATCTCCTAGAACCAATAGTTTCAAAGATAACCTCTTTCTCAATTTTTTAACAAGCTGCATGTTTAATAAAAACTCCCAAATATTTAAAGTCTTCATAACTTTTGAAAAATTCACCCCACAAAATTTTTATCCAAACAAAAATTATTGTAAATGAAATGTTCCCAACTTGTCCCCGTAAAAAATCTTCTAGGACCAATATTTTCAAAGAAAAACCCATTTTCAATTTTTGACACTACGCTCCAAAAATTTCCAAATATTTCAAAGTTTCACAATTTTTAAACAATTAATCCCACAAAATTTTCAACTAAAAATTGCAATTTAAATTCTCTATAATTACATAACAATCCTCTCCTACAAAATTCCAAATTTTCCACCAAACCGAACCAAAATAAAAAAAATACTCCAAAAACCTAGAACCACACCTATAAAAAATTCCATCTTGTCAAACAATCTAAGCCCCCATCCATAAACAAACACTCCCAGCCGATCGTGTATTAATTAGCTAATTTCCGTTAATTGGCACCGAGGACATTTTTCCGTGTCTCTTTTTCCCAGCCGTGGAAAACGAGTCCCTCATAATTAACTTAGCATCATCGCTATTTAACATTCTAAACTTTTTCTGTCATCGCTAATATTGTTTATTTTTCTATTTCTAAAACACCTCGGTTCCCATGCTTGCCACTCCAAACTCTTCGTTTACTTACTTGGTAGCAACAGGTACTAGTGTCCAGTCATAGCCATCCAGGACTTTTGCGACAGCTTTGCTTATTTCTGCACCCTTCACACCCCCCGCGATACTTTCACTCGCACTTTTAACATTAGCTACATTTTTATTCTCATTACTATTATTATTATTGTTATTATTATTATTACTCACACTATTATTGTTATTATTTGCAATTGGAGGAATCAAGTCCGAATTTTCCCCCATAATTCCGTTCATTTAAAAAAAAAAAAACCCTAAAAAATAGCCGAGAAAACGGTCAGCTAGTGTAAACAATTACAATTACAATTAAAATAAAATGCGTTACACTTTAAAGTATCTTTGTTCGTTGCTATCATTAACGCTGGCATCAACAATAATTATAATTATAATTACAATAAAAAATAAAATACAAATGTTATCTCCTCCTCTGTGGTAAGTTTTATTGAGTGAAGTTAACTCTCGATTACTTGCACATTAATTTATAAGTTGTCTATTACAGTTTTAATTATTCACTAAAATGTTACACATGTCACTCCTCACTTTTATTTATTTTACGTCACACATTAATTAATTTTTAATTAATTGTTTGGAGAAAAAATTTTTTTATTGTAAAAATTGGCTTGTTGATTTCGTAAATGGTTAAAAGTCAAGTAATGGTCCCACTTTTTAAACAGTTAATGCTAGAGCGCGATCAGCGCACAAGTGAGGTGGTTAGATTTTGCCTCGGGGCAGTTTCCTCCACGCGTTTTAAGGCCCGAATGGTATGGTACAAATAGGCGGGGCGTAATATCGTGACACTTGTTGCTTCTACTGCTTCTTATATATGTATATATATATAGTCTCATCTCGGGTGATGTATATATGTTGGCTCAAAGACCCAGAACATTAAATTTGAGAAGTTCGTAAATAAAAAATAAAATAAAATAAAATTTATGGGAAAACATTTGTTTTTAAATAAAAAAAAAAAAAAAATAAAAATAAAAATTAGTATTAATATTATATATATTAAATGTTTGTGGTATAGTATAAGTATGTGAGTATAAATATGAATTGATAATAAAAATTATCAATAACTAATTAATCAAATAAATTAAAAAAAAAGTCAGAGTTGGAGTTTGGTTGATAATTAATATTAGATTGAAGAATAATTAATTGCGAAAAATAAATAAGGAAATTTTTAATTTAAATAATTATTGTCGGGTTGTTGTACTATTTTTCGAGCGATTTTTATAATAATATGTAAACGTTCTTCGCGCTATATTTAGGAGGAGATATTACTATAATATAAGAATATATATATATATGAGAGAGTGTGTTAGTGGAATGACGGTTACCATGGACACGATATCCGCGGTCGAGATGACCAATCGGTTTCTTGAGGGTCTCCCACTCGCGGTTAACACGCGTACCCTCCTACGCTTTGACGTTTCATTGGATGCTACCAGACTATTACGTGTAATTATATTACACACCTTTGTCTAATCTATTTTATATGTAATGATTTCTAGTGTAATGCAATGTAATATTATCTTGCTGTGATTAATTAACTTTTAGATGTGTACATTAAAAATTTTTTTTTTAAGTATTACACAAGATTTATTTATTTATTTCTTTTGTTTTCTTCTTTGGTTCGCTTCAATTAATTAATGATTTTATTTCTGCAATTTTCAATTACAAAATACAATTATTATTATTATTATTATCTATATTATTAAGAGAATAAGAAAAATTTTGTGTCCAGGATAATCATACGGTAAAATCGGTTTTTTTAGTGAAATTTAATGTCATTGCAAAGGTCTTGACTTGAATTTGTGCTTTTTCAAGGTTTCATGTCATTCTCACCAATAGTCAATTTATTATGATAAGTATTTAGGCTGCATTTGAAAATGTTTTATCTCTAGATACATAATTAAGAAATGACCTTGTATCTTGAGAACTATTGACATTTTTAAAGATATAAGCTCATCTCGATGTTACACTCATCAAGACCTTTCATTTGAATACCCACATCAATTTTTTATATATTTATATATATTATATATATGTATATATGAAAATGCATGTGGGTACTCAAATGAAAGCTCTTTATGAGTGTATCATCGGGATGAGCTTATATCTTTATAAATGTCAATATTTAAGAAAGTACAGTGCAATTTAACAAAAGTTATTATTTAATAAAGTTAAAATAATTAAGAAATGACCTCGTATTTTGTGAACTATTGAAATTTTCAAAGATATAAGCTCATCTCAATGTTACACTCATCAAGACCTTTCATTTGAATACCCACATCAATTTTTTATATATTTATATATATATTATATATATGTATATATGAAAAATATATCAAAATGCATGTGGGTACTCAAATGAGAGCTCTTGATGAGTGTAACATCGGGATTAGCTAATATCTTTAAAAACGTCAATAGTTAAGAAAGTACAGTGCAATTTAACAAAAGTTATTATTCAATAAAGCAAAATTTTATTTATTTATAGTTCAAAAATCACGGCAGTCACATAGTGATTACGAGGTTGCTAGTTATTATTATTATTATTATCAATTTTAATAATAACCACTTAAAAGTTTATTATTATTATTAAAAAATTAATAAATCATATAATAAATATATTAATCATATCCAAAAATGATTATTCAAATAAAGAGAATGTTTAAGATAAGAATGACAGTTCTCACGTGATAATTTATAATCTTTTTCCTTGTATGATCCTCCGCTCATGTCCTACGCTTATATAATATAATATAATATAATATGTACTAGCTTTTATCCACTTCCTCAATAAAAACTCCCTAAAATCTACCCACACTTAACTGATGCAAACAAGTAAATACAAACACACACATAAGTCGCGAAACTAGGTCTCAGGATAAAATCTTAACAAGGACCACGTGTTGACGGTTTTTGGTGACACTATCCTACACATATATATCGAGCAAAGATAGTAATTGGTTAAACTTGAAAATTAGTGTCACAAAAAGAGTTTGAGAGAGCATTGGTTTGTTTCTTTGTCACATATATATTCCATATATAATATATATTAATATAAACATCTGGCGTATCATCTTCAACATGATCTTCGGATTCTTAGCGTGCCATTGACCGGGAGGTTTTATTTTTAAAAACTCACAAATCATCTACGAGATAGTATTATTCTAGAGATAAATTATTTCCTTGTAGGTAAAATATCTAAAGGATAATTAGTTGTACCTACATATGATGAAACTGCTGTTTCTGCTCTGCAGACTTTCTATTACCAAATCGTACGATCGATCGGTAATTATGATTAATTATTTACTTTATTTTTATATCATTGAATTAAATATTCAACAATTAATATTATTAATACGTTTGTACTTGCAGAGTTGTCATTTCTTTTAATTAGGACTTGTGTATCCTTAAAAATGTTGTGTTTTATGGAGAGATAATTCAAGAGTGGAGGGGAAGATTGAGTCTGTAGAGTAGAAAGAAAAAAAATATAAGTAAGCTGTGAATGTTGAGAAGAGCACGCGTCACGACGTCTGTGGCCAGTGACAATGCAGAATGCGATCGCGGTTCAAGACGCTCTTGGGGGTCCTCTATTCTACTCGCGGGCCCGTTTCTTTGCTTAGGGATATAAGTTATAATATATGTTTGTATATCTATATATTATATATTATCTGTCCGTACCGGGGGGCTACATGTGTCAGTTCTTCGGGCCACCCCCGCGGCTTTCAAGTATCCGACTGAGCAACCAGAGGATCCCACTACTTTTTTTTAACAAGTGTCTTTTTTTTTTTCAATTACAAAATTTTAATTTGCGGTTTAGATGTAATGAAGATTTTTTTTTTTGATAGGTAAAATTAATTGGAGATTTTTTTTTTTAATTTTTTGAGCTTTAGTTACTATTAAAAAATTTTTGTTCTTAATTTTTATTCAAAACTTTTAATATAAAAATTAAGTTTATTTTAATTTATAATTTTTTGAGGTATAATTGTTATAAAAAAATTTTTAATCTCAATTTTTATTTAAAACTTTTAATATAAAAATTAAGTTTATTTTAATTTATAATTTTTTGAGGTTTAATTATTATTATAAAAAATTTTTGATCTAAATTTTTAATTTTGAAAGAAAAAATTATAATGGAAAATAATAATAATAAGTACAGTGCCAATAATACAATGCAAAGCAGTATTTAAAACGAAAATCAAGGAAGAAAAAAACAACAATAATCCCAACATACTGTTGCCACGTGCGACGGGATGTTTACCGCGCGAAAGATAAATTCCGTCTTGCCTCAAATCAATATTATTGTTCGCGGTTCATCATCTAAATTTGTACGATCTACTAACCATCTACTGAACCACCACAATCTCTACAAACAAACTCTATCAAGGGTAAAATTAAGCTGAAATAAATTCAAGGTTTGATTAACTTAACTCTCTTTCTGTATTAATTTCTTACTACCCTAAAAAATTATGTCAAAAATTTATATTGATTTAAAAAAAAAAAATTATTAACTTAAAAATTTTTCAAATAAATTATTATCAAGATAATTTATCAAAAAATGCTACTTAAAAAATATTTATACAATTTTTATCTAGTGTAATTTAAATAAAATTCTAATCAATATAAAAATTTCACTCCAAAGAAATTGAATAAAATTAAAAATTATCTTTTGTAAATTTTTTACAATGTATAAATTAATTAATTTAGTCTATCTCAATTAATATAAATTAATATTTTGTTCCTAAATGAAAATATAAGTTCCTAAAACTGTTAAGGGTGCGAAAGAGGAGATCCGTAAAGAATAAAAACTCTTTGATGTAAGCACAAAACTCTTACACGGCATTGACCGTGGTTTATATGCGTTCTTAAAAGCTCCCTTGTATTTAATATATCGCTCATTCATTAAATATGTCGTGGTATAATTAGGCCGGGGTTCTCTCTGATCCTTACAACTTCATTGCACACTTACATACATATATACGAGACATGACACGCGAGACGTGAATTTGTTGGGACAATACAACAGTCTTTCACTGAAACCAACGACTCGTGTCTCGCTCATTTCATTTTATGAATTATTAACAATAATAATAAGAAAAATTAAAATTAAGTAAACATACACTGTAATTAGTTTAATTATCATTCAACTTGAAGTTTTATAGGTATATAAATTTGTAATAATAATTAATAAAAAAGCTACAGGCCGACATTAATATCAAACTCGACTTCATTAAGCGACCAGAGAAAGAGCGGAATTTTCTTGGTCTTGTAAAAGTCGCTGATGACTTTGGTGGAGATTTTGGGGATGCGAGTGCGCTCGGGAACTGTGTAGTCCACGGAGAAGAGCCCAAACTTCTGGGTGTAGCCGACGGACCACTCAAAGTTGTCGATGAGGGACCAGGCGAAGTACCCGCGGATATTAATGCCCTGGGCGATCAGACCCGGCAGCTCGCTGAGGTGCTCGTGGTGGTACTTGGCTCGTCCGATATCTGCTAGCTGGCCGCGGTCCCAGTACCCGTTCTCGGTTATCATTATCATCGGGACCTCAAAGTCCTTGTTGATTTTTTGGATTGTTGAGACTAGAGCCCAAGATGTGCTCTGCAATTTTTTTTTTTTTATAGTTTTTACAAATTAAAATTTTTAATATTGATCAATTCGGCTGCCCAATTTCAAAACACAGTAACTAACATTTAAAAATTTTTTTCAATTTTTCTTATTAAAAAAAAGTTTGCCCGCCAAATTAATGACAAATTTGATTTATGAATAGAAAATACTCAAATATAAATATTTATAAGAAAAAATACTTGAAATTAAGGTTTAAAAGTTATAAAAAATGCAGCAATACTAAAAAAAAATCAGGTATAAAAATTTTGCAGTTACTGTGTTTTAAAATTAGGCAGCCGAATTAGTTTTTATTCACACATACATAGAATAATTAACTCGATTAATTCATAAAGAAAATTATTTTTAAGTAACCGATGATTGGAAATGAAAAAGAGAAATTTTTGAGCCAAGGAAAATTTATTTAAATTAAGAAAAATTTCTTGGCTATATTTTCAGCTATTTCTTAAAAATGATTTTCTTATTTCACGATTTTTTTTCATGAAAATTAATTTAGCACATATTTAATAATTTTATAACAAATAAATTATGACAAAAAAAATTGTCGTAGAAATTAAAAAATACAATTTTTTGGAGCAAATTTTTTTTTTTTAAGTAAAATTAAGTAAATTAAGTAAATTTTTTATTTTTTAGCTTAATATTTTTATACAAATTTTTAAATATTGAAAAGAAAAAAAAACTCACTCGATCAGAAAACGCGGCTCCATTTTGATTAGCAGGCACTTCAAGCATCTCAATATCCCCAAAAAATGACACCGTAGAAGTAACATTGTAATTTTGGTACTTTTGAACCGGCGAAGCGTGGTAGTAATTAAGTCCCAAAAAATCGGTCGAGTTCCGGAGCATCGAAATTTCCTCGGCAGTGAACTCCGGAAGTCTCGAGCGCGGAAATCCTTGCTTCAAACTGTTTTCTGCTATTCTGCTTTTCATTTTTTCCGGGTAGTCGCCGAAGTGCCCGAAGAGCGGGTTCAGGAACCAGGAACCCCAGAACTCGAACCATCTATCAGCCCCTGCGACTTCTTCGGGGTCTTCGGGGTTTGAGGCTACTGCCCAGGGGACTGATATTGATAACCCAACTTTACCTATTTTTTTATAAATAATTACATTAGACTAAAAAAAAAATTAAGTTAATTAATATTAAAAAATATATATTAAAGTGACCTTTTTGTTCCTGACGGAATTCTTCGTTATACATTTTATGAGCTTTTGCATGAGCGAGTAACATATGATGCCCGCAAAGATAGTCAGTGATACCTGTATGATTAACAAAGGGTACCATTTTACCCCCATACCCGTAAACACAGTAAACTGTCGGTTCATTTACTGTTGACCAATATTTGACCTTTAAAAAAATTTAATTTAAATTTATTGACACTTTTTTTTTTTTTACTAAAAATTAATTAAAAATTTTTCTTATTAATTAAATTATTATAAAAAGTATTAAAATTGATAATTAAAAAAAAAAAATAAATTACCCTGTCTCCAAACGCTTTAAAAACAATCCTGGCATAATCAACAAACCAGTCAACAATCAAGGGGTTGGTCCACCCTCCAAGATCCTGGAGCTCTTTCGGCAAGTCCCAGTGGAACAAAGTAACAACAGGAGTTATGTTTCTACCCAGCATTTCGTTTATAACATTATTGTAATGCTCTATTCCCTTGGGGTTCAATGAGTTTGGAAAACCCGTCGGCAAAATCCGCGGCCACGATATTGAAATTCTAAAGGCATTACACTGCGACCCAATTATTTGTATTAATTAGTGATAATGGATTATAAATTATGAAACTTTAAAACTTACACCGAGTTGTTTGGCAAGATCGATATCCGTTTTGTACATAAAATACGAATTAGCGGCAATATCCCCGTTTGAATTATCAATTACCGTTTCAGGCGAGTTGTGAGTTGCGTAATCCCATATTGACTCTCCTTTACCTGTTTAAAAAATTATTATATTAAATTAAACTGTTCTAAAAATATAATTACAAATTTTAGACTTCTTTTAAATTAATTCAATGAAAAATTATTAATTGATAGTCAATAATTACTTTTTAAAAATTTTTTAAATTATGTATTAATATTAATTTAATAATAATTTTAATTATAAATTTTTAAATATATTTTTATTGTTTATTTTTTATAATTTATTATTTAATTAATTAAATTAATTTTTTTTATTATTAAAAAATAGTCACTGAAAAGGAAAAAAATTAATTTAGTTTAAGAGATTAATTTTTACTTAATTATAATTATAACAAATCTACCAGAGACATTCCAAGCTCCCTCAGTTTGATAAGCAGACGTAGAAACTCCAAAAAGAAAATCATCCGGAAAACGTCCCTCCTTAGCAGCATTCACTCTCTGAATTCCCACCAACGATTTTGACGTCGCGTAGTAATCCATGTCCGCAAAATCGGGCAGCATTGACGTCAAGGAGTCCATCAGGCCCAACAGTAAGCTCACGTTCCCCAACACCCACATTTTTTAAAATTTTTATTTCAATCACTTTTGCAAATTTTAATAAAGAAACTCACAAAATAAATAAAGGAAAAAACAAACTTATATTGACAGTAAAAATAAATTTTAAATTAACAATGAACTGACCAGCAGAACTAAAGAGTTCCTTACACTTATCGCTAATAAATATTTCCTTATCATTGTGTAACTTGATAAAGTGGATAATTTATTTAATTGCGTTATTGATAACGAGTAAAAAGTAAAACAATAACTTTTTATATTGTTTAAAAATTTTGTTTATTTATTTTTTTTATTTTTAGGAATTAAATAATTAAATTTTTTACTATTTAAAATATTAAATAATTAAATTAAAATGTCTTTAAATTAATTTTTTAAAGAATTGAAAATTTTTAGATTTTTTTTTTAATAAATCAATTACAAAAAAAAAATAAAGATGAAATTTTAAAAAAATTAATAAAAGTAAAATTTGAAAATTTATTATTAAATAATTAAATTTTCAATTATTTTAAAATGTTAAATAATTAAATTAAAATTATTTAAAAAGTCTTTAAATTAATTTAAAAAAAAAAAATTAAAATTGAATTTTAAAAAAATTATTATTAGTAAAATTTGAAAATTTATTATTAAATCTTGAGCGAAAAATGACGAATCATAAATAATTTATGCCCTACATATTATTGTCAAAATGAATATTAATAATAGTCGTCAAAAATTATCCTCGGATTCGGTCGAAGAAACAGCGACATATTTCAATTAATTAAGCTGTAAATTACCTCCAAATCTAATATAAGTTATAAAACGTAATAATGAAAATAAGTATAATATATAATTTATCGCGGCGAGAAGTCTTAACTTAAATAAGTCGGTACGTGGGCGCTGAAAATCATTCGCGTAAATAAAATAAAAAGGAAGAGTGATCTTCGCCGAGGAGTGAGTTTACGAATTTCGTTCGCCAGTTACATTGGATTAGTAGTCGGTTGACGTCGAATCACCAGTGCAGCGTAATAGAAACCGGCTCGAAGAGATAATGGACCGAGGACAAGATGAAGAAGATTCCCCCACCCGTTAAAAAGGTGGTGGTCCACGGAAACGCCTCCACCATCCTATCCACATCTTCACCATCTCGGCCTCGTATTATCGCGAGTCCCCTCACTCATACTCTTTCGCCGTCTATACAATTTTCAGATTTTAAGACTTTGCCTAAGAATTATCCGCGAGCTTTCGCGTATCGCGGGTCGAAGGTTTAATTTTTTTCAAGTGTCGAGTGATTTTTTTCAGTGAAAAAAATAATTAAAAATTGTGGAGTGACTTTAATAATTTTTTTTTTGAAAAAAAAAAAAATTAATTAATTGCTTAAAAAAATTATTAATTAAATAATGGAAATTAATGACAAGCCCGGACCGTCAAATGAATCGAACGCGCTGGACGATGCAGTCGGAAAATTATTGCAAGGTAAACAAAATATTAATAATCGAATTAACCAAATAATACCTTGAATTTATGAAGACATTACATTTATAAGTAGACACTTTAATTGGCGTTGAAAGCTCAGCTCGTTAATTCTCGACACCGGATTTATCTTGGCGATTAAAATTTATTTGTTTTTTATTTTGGAAAAATAAAATCCTGAGTAGACTTTAACTTAAGGAGGGTAAATTTAAATGTATGTGTAACATAATGATCTAGCGGTATAACTTTAAGCTAGATATATATACATATAATGAAAAATGATAAAATGTATACGCTAGCGGTGAGATCTTCAAGAGCAGGTGCTGCGAGCCAAGCGAAACTGTTCTACGACACTAATTATAAGAGCACCAAATTAAATCTGACACATCAACTCGCAGGCAATAGTACGCGATGTAATTTATGGGAGGCTATTTTTTTTTTCTTCCCACGAAAAGTTCATTTTCATTTTGATCTCAATCGCTCGATATTTTTATTGTGATTAAATTAAATAACTAATCAATTTTTGTTCTTGCAATTTTTAGAATTTTTTTATATGAATAAATTATTATTAAAACAAGAAATTATTAATTTAATTTTTAATAAAAAAAAAAAATTTTTACTATTGATTTATTAAAACAAAAAATTATTAAATGATTTATACTTTTGCCTTTGTAATGATAAAAAAAAATATTAATGACAATTAAAAAAAAAAAATAAATTGTCTACAATTTTTGTCCCTGTAAAAAAATCTTACTGATATTTTAAAAAATACAGAAAGTAAAAGTTTAAAATGAATAAATAACAATCTCTGGCACGTGGCTGTCAAATTTAATAAAAAATAAAAATATTATTGTAATTATCTTTGACCCAGTGATACATTGAAATGATACAAAATAAATACAGATGTAATATTGTAATCAAGTAAATGTACCACGCAAGACTTAAGCCGTACGACAGATTGGCATTTATGCGACTTGTGTTATAACACACCGGTTTATTCACCGCTGGACAATCGACTATTGTCGCCTCAACAATCTCCCCTTTACGGCAAACACTATTTTGTAATTATCTATTTCACAAATATTAATCCATCATTTGTTAATGAATAGAGAATCACTTCACTCTTGCATCAATTAATATATTAATTAATTAACTGTGCATTTAGTTAATTGATTTATTATTATTTATTATTCTAGCTTAAATTATTATTATTAATTAAAAAATTTTGAAAATAATTAAATTGAAAATTAATTTTTTAAAATAAAATTTTATTTACTTAAAATTTTATAAAAAAAGTAATTAAAATAAAAAATTTATTTTTTTTGAGAACCAAAAAGAGAATAAATATACTTTACGGAGAAATATATTCCTGGCGATTCGCGAAATTAAAAAATTTCGCCGTAAACCATAGGGCTAACGAAGAAGGTCTCGTTAGAGGGAACCGACAGAGAGGCCGCATCGTTAGACCGTGTCACCCCGCAATTAACTCTGATAGTAGATTATGACACTCTAATTCAACCCGTCACGTGTTTTTTAACCCTTGCTAATTATCAGCCTCCAGACGTCACTTTTGATGATTTATCTGGCCCTAGATAGTATCGGTTTTATTCTAAACCCTACGTACGACTATATACTAAACTTTAGATCATAGACAATTTCCTGCGATAAGACTCTCGGGCACAAATCTGAATCGCTGTTTTATCCGAGTTTTTTATGATGACATTAATCTTGAGAGCTTATCGGCTTCCGAGACAGTAATTATAATTATAATTAATTTTATATTAGGAATTCTCGTAAAAATGAGGCTTTTTAATTTTTTCTTCTGTGAATTGAATGTCACTGATAAGATTCAGACATAAATTATTTTATTTTTTTATGATTTATATTTACGAGCCTAGATTTTGATTTATACTTTTTTGATATGGAATTAATTTTTAAGAATTAAGATTTTTTTTTTTTTCGAGAAAAATATTAATTGATTAAATTTAATTAGGGTATGATTGGACATTATTACCGGTAACGTCGAGAACAGGCGGTCGGAGGAGTACTCATGTAAAAAGGCCGATGAATGCCTTTATGGTATGGGCCCAGGCTGCAAGAAGAAGACTCGCTGATCAGTACCCCCAGCTTCATAATGCCGAGTTGTCAAAAACTCTCGGTAAATTGTGGAGGTATTTTAATTTATTTATTTCAAAAATTTAGAAAGAAACAATTTATAATTTACACTAAGAAAAAAAAAAAATATAAGAAGCTTCAAAATTTTTTTAAATTGACTATTTAAATTTGTTAATTTTTTTTATAAAAAAAAAATTATTCTTTTTAAGGACAAAATAAACAAGTCTTATTATTTGAATTAAATCTATACATAAAAAGAATAAGAAAATTTATTATGAGTATTTAGGCTGCGTTACGAAAATGCTCTATCTCTAGATACATAATTAAGAAATGACCTTGTATCTTGTGAACTATTGACATTTTTAAAGATATAAGCTCACCCCGACATTACACTCATTGAGACCTTTCATTTGAGTACCCACATCAATTTTTCATATATTTTATATATATTACATATATGTATATATTTTATTTTTTTATTTTATTTTTATTAGTTCAATGAACCCTACAGCAAATCCATTAATCGGGTTCCATATTACCTACAATTTAATACAATATGTTTAATATAAAATTAATATTATTATAAGTCACTATATAATTAGCTAGCAAAAGTAAATATTATGCTCCAGTTTATACAATGTTTGACACACAAAGTTTTGAAAAACATTTAGAACTACTTATTTTATAAACGTCCAAACTGTTTGTTATCTATCTTGTAAAAAGTATTGGAGGCACTTATTAATCGGTATATGGGGGCAGATGTAGCAAAGTTGGTGCCAGTGAGTGGAAGCTGGAAGGGAGTACTATCCCTCCAGGTCGGGGCTCTAAAAGTAATTGATATATGAAAAATATATGAAAATGCATGTGGGTACTCAAATGAAAGCTCTTGATGAGTGTAACATCGGGATGAGCTTATTATCTTTAAAAAGGTCAATATTTAAGAAAGTACAGTGCAATTTAACAAAAGTCATTATTTAATAAAGCAAAATTTTATTTATGGTTCACAACTAACGGCAGTCACATAGTGACTGCAAGATTGCTAGTATAAATTATTGTAATTACTTTATATGTAATAAATGATTTTAGAATATTAAGCGACGGCGAAAAGCAACCATTCATCGAAGAAGCTGAAAAATTACGTAATGCTCATAAAAAACAACACCCACATTACAAAGTAAGTTTTTAATTTTTTAATTCAATTAAATTATTTATTAAATTTTGAGCTGATAAAATTTATTTATTCCTTAATTAATTTATTCAATATTATTAATTTATTAAATAAAATAATTTTACAACTAAATAATAATAATAAAAAATAAATTATTACAGTACCAACCACGTCGCAGAAAACCAAAGACTGAAGACCAATCTCTCCCCCGAAATACATTGCAACCACCAACATTAGACTCTCCCCCAGAATGTACTTACCCGAGGATCTACCCCGACTCCTCGAAGCCTTACGAGCGATCTTTGGCCTACGAACCGCAAAAAGGATTCGAATTGCACCCGAAGTACGTCGAGAGTCTAAAGTGCACTGACCATCAGAACTGCGGGTACGAGGGTCCCAAGTACGAGCTCTCCAAAAATTACCCCGAGGCTTCCAGGCACCCCGAGCTCCAGAAAAACTACGAGGAGATCTCCAAGTTCCCGGAGATGAAAGTTTCCGGATATTCGGAGGCCTTCAAGTACCCAGAAGTCGCAAACACCCAGAAGTCTTACCCTTGTATGCACAGTCAGTACTATTCAGCGCCGGACTCTTACACAGTTCATGAAGATACTGACTATCAGGGACAAAGTATGCCCGCGCACTCGTTCTACCCTTATATTTCCGCTTCCATGGCTCAGCCTTCTTATTACATGGGTCCTCGATAAATTAATAATAATAACAATAAATTAAAATTATAATTATGAATTATATTTAATAAAAAATATTATTGGGATTTAAATGAAGTTTAAAAATTTAATTAAATAAAAATTTTACGGTTTAAATTAAATATTTATTTAACAAAGTAAAGAGTGTAAAATATCTATCTATTTAACATACGTAATTATTAATATCAATTACAGATCTTTAATTTTTATATTAGTTTTATTTGAAACTTTAGATATGCATAGCTGGAAAAAAAAATTAATTTAATTTTTAAAAAATATTTTTCAAACCAAAAAAATTAAATTTTCTCAACTTGGAAAAAAAATTTTTGAACTAAGAATTTTTATTAGTTTGAGTAAATTTTAATTAATTAAAAAATTTTTTGCCTGGATTTAAGACAAGAAACTCTTTAAAATTATGTTTTGATTCAAGAAATTTTTTTTAGAAATTAAATTAATTTTTTTTTAGTGTGGGTAAGTATTCGGAAGGTAGTCGTTTTTTTATAAAATGTACAAAAACTCAATTTTATTTTTTGTTAACATAATCTCGTGTTAGTATTTTAAGAAATAATTAGTATTAATTAAATGAGTAAACTTAGGAAGATTTACAGCTTTGTTATAAATTAAAATTCGGTGGTAATTAGACGCTCTTTACATCCGGAATTCCGGATGTAAATAGAGTCCTTGTTAGTTGACTAATTTATAATTTATAGCTTATAATTATTACTAATATATACAAAGAAAGTATACGTAAGAGACTCACGACTGCCCTTTAATATAATTTTTAAAAATAAATACGTATAATTTTTGTGATGTTGAATTAAGATATTTTATATTACAGGGCAGCCGCGTAAGTTCGATTGCTACAAAATATAACCTGTAAAATATTCAGCTTGTCGGTAATTGCGATAATTTTTAAAATTTACCGAATTCTTCTCAAAATTTTATGAAAAAAGCGTATAAAAAAATTTCACTTACAAAATTGGAAATTTGAACTAAAATTGAAAATTTTCAAAAACCCATGTGATGTAAAAATGTCAAAATTTTAATTTTAAAAATCTAACTTAAATTAATTACATTTCAAATTTTTCAATTTCTGCATTATAAAGTTAAAAAATTTTCTTATACTCCCTTTTGGTTCTAAATTTTTATTTCTAATTTCAAAAGAATGTCCATTAAAAAAAAAAAATTTATTTTAGAAACGTTTCCAAAAAAAAAAAAAACAGAATAAATGTTAAATTAAAAAAATTTTAATGTTAAATGTTGAAAATTTTTGTGATAAACATTTAACACTTTTATATATAAATTAAACATTTATTCTGTTAAATCAACACACAAAAGTGTTAAATATTTAATATAAAAATTTTACTCACGGTAAAAAAAATTTTTTTACTCACGAATAACACAACAAATCTCTTCAACAAGTCCTCTATCTCCAAAGACCGCTAACTATCATCAGGTTACTTTTGCACCAATGAACCAACACATACCAGTAATAATACCAATTACGAATAATGATATATCCTAGAGGTAGCTTGACTTACGTAATAACCATAAAAGACACCCTAGACCAAATCCTACCCAAATCAAGGATCCCTAGCAAGAACAGCGGCGAGTTCCTTGACCTGGTCCCTGTTAGCATGCATAGAAGCCTTGGCAGTCCAGATCATATCAGCAAGAATCTCATCGCTCTTCTCATCCATGGCGACAATAGCCGACAACTGAGGATTGAATCTATAATACGGAATCCCCGCCATAGAACACCAGGTCCTGGCACGATCCACCACCCTCCCATCAGCAGCAGTGGCCTGGTCCACTAACAAATTTCCCAGCGCCGAGATTCCCATGCCCAGTCTCATGGTGTCCCAAATGCTCTCCGGCCGGAAAACATCAATATCCTTCATAGGAGCAACAGGAACAGCTCCAGTTCCCAAAGAGACCACCAAGGACAGCGGAGTGACTTCATCTTCCCTGCCAGAAGCCCTCAAAGCAAGATTGTACTCATGGATCTCCGTCATGGCGTCCAGCGTCGGGTTATTAGCGATCAGCCCTCCATCCAGGAACCTCCCAAAGGCTCTAAAGTACGAAGGAGCCGCTCCAGTAGCTCTCGCAGCCTTCCAAAGGAGCTGCTCCTCCGGCCCTAAAGTCGGCTTGAAGTTAGAATTGTGCGGGATCTTCATCAAGTAGCTCGGCGAAGGATAATTCCTGAACAAATGTAAATCCACGGGCTTCCTATCAGCCAACACTCCGGTAATCATCAACTTGGGCGCTTTAATATCCGCCATAACCGTATCAGCGCCTAAACAATCCTTCAGCACCTTCTCCAGATTCTCGCTACAATAAGGCCTCGACCCAACAAAAGCATCCTGCTTGATTCTAAAGTACAGCGCTTGGCATTCCCTCAAGCTCTTCCCCGCAGCTATTCCTAGCCCGAGAATTCCCCCCGTGGAAGTCCCGGCGATCCAATCGAAGCACGATACAATAGGCTTCTGCAAAACCGCTTCAATCTCGATCAAAGCCTGGACTAAAACCAGACCTCTGATTCCCCCGCCGTCTAAACAAAGCAGCCTTCCACCCTTAAGCTTCTGCGTTCCTTGAGACGCCATCTTCGCCATGCTCGCCACATAGAGCATCTGGTCCAAAACAGTCCTGGGGATGGACGTAGGCGGCTCAGGAGGCGCCACTCCGTTGAAAGTCTCCCCCTGCCTGCACCCCAATCCACAATCCTTTACCAAACTATCACAGCGCTTGGCCCCAACTGCGTGCAATGCATACAAAATCTTCTCCCCTTCACCCTTAAGCTCCACCAAGTGCCTAGGCGACTCGTTCTTGAAGTTCTTGGCATCAATATCCGCCCCAAAGCCAATTAACATCTGCACCACCGAAAGCGAGCTTCCTTTCTGGACTGCCAAGTGCAGAGGAGTGTCTCCGTGGTTGTCCGCTAGGTTTATGTTCGCCATGTGGCTCAGCAAGGCCATCACGCAGTCCAGTCTCTTGCGCATCACCATGATATGCAAAGCGGTCCGTCCGTCGAAGTTCAGCGCGTTTATGTCGCAGTTCATCTCTATAAGCGCGTTGACCACCTCCCGACTGGAAGACCAGTGCAAGGGCGTCCCTCCGAACTTCATATCTTCGGAGAACAAAGAGTTAGGCTTGTCGCTCATGTAATCCCCGACATAGCTGGGTCCATTCCCGGTTGACTCACTTGCAGAGATATTAACGTCAGCTCCGATCATCAGCAAGGCCTTGACGCAGTCTGGTTTGTCGTTGTGGCAAGCTACGTGCAGCGGAGTCTGACCCTGGCTGTTCCTGCTGTTCAGCACGTTGGGAGAATTAGCGCCCAGTGCGAAGATTATGTCCTTGGTGGACTTGGCAGCGTAGTGGTACACTGTATTGGCTGTGTAGTCCAGGTGTTCTACGGATGCGTGCTCGTTGATCAGCAGGACGACCATCTGAAGGTTGTTGGTCTGAATTGCCACTTGCAGGGGAGATATTCCTGTGGTTAGGTCGCTGCTGTTCAAATCCTTCTTCACTGCTGGGTCCTTGAACGCGTCGTACAGCGCCATGTAGGCGGCCAAGTGCGCCAGGGTCCAGGTTGGGCAGCTTGACAAGGTGTCGCAGAGCTTCTGGATCCTTGCTACCGTGTTCAGGTCCTTGCAGATCTGGACTAAAGGTGGTAACTTGTCTTTGTAGACGGTGAAGCGCACTTCAGCTACCTCTAAGCTTTCGGAACGGAAGAGGCTGAAGGAGTGGATCAGGGTCTCTTGACAGGGACGGTGGAGGACTATCTCGTATTTGTCATTCTTGTCACCTGGTCCGTAAAGCATGATTCCTTCCTCACGGCAGTGGATGTGCCGGTTGCTGTATTTGTCCGATCTTACTTCCAGGACTATGTTAGGGGCCGTGTCTCCAAAGACGATGTTCCGGAAGACGTTGTTCGCGATGTCACCGAGCCATGCCATTTTGCAGGTCTAGGTTGGTTATTTCTGGCTATGGATTGATTCGAAAGGGCTATTTTTATTGGTACTTGAACTTTTCGATTTATAGCTTATCTGAAAAATAATTATGTAAGTTGGCTGACATTGATCCGCTGAGTCAACTTTGATATATTGCTTGCTACTCAAGGAATTGACAATGCGTGATTAATTATTTGTGAGGATTATTATTGTATTATGTGTAGGTGTAGTTGTAAGTACTTTGGTTAGAAGTTTGAATTAAATGGTGATGATTGAATAATTAATTAGTATATTCACCTGGATCACATAGTTTTGCTTGCTCTAATGACTTTGTAAGCTTCTTGGATTTAATAGAGATTTTTTAGGAACTTTTATTGTACTGCACTTGAACTGATCGCTGATGACAGTCAGCTGTAATTGGCAGAACTACGCAGAAGCAGGAATTTATTTAGATTCACTCGAGTTTCACATTGATCTTTGGTCGGTTTAACACATTTGAAGGATTCCCGGAAGGTGGCGGTAAGTTATGGACGCATGGGTAAGTCTGTTTTACTGAAGGATGATTGAGTAACTTTCTAACTTCTAATTGGTTAGTTGATAAAATTGTTTTAAAAAATTATTTTTATATTTGTGATAAATTTGTTTAATATTGATTTTAATTATTGCGGAATGTAAAAGTCCTTCGGAATAATTGTTTCATTAGAATTTCATTTGAGGACTGTTTATTTAAATTACCGTCCTTCGGAGTTATTGTTCTGAGAAAAGGGGAAAATTTTATACTGGCATAAATAATTGTGTTATTGAAATTTTTTTGCTAGAATTTAAAGTGGGTAGTAAAAGTTATTATTGCGAAATTGGGGTAATTTAGGGGCTAATCGGGATAATGATCATTTTCAGAGCTAAATAATTTATGATTTCTTACCCTCCAGAAGGCGTAATTAAATTTGCTTTTATTAACGTTGTATTTAAATGACATAGCTCGAGTTCTTTTTATTAAAACACGAAAATTTTTAGTTTTTTTTTATTGTAAAAAGTAATCTATAATTTTTTAATGCCGACTATTAATATTATTTTTCTTCTTGAAAGTCGTAAAATATTGTAAATTTTATGAACTTGAAAGTTTTTTTATTATTAGTTAAAAAATTAGATGGATTTAATAAAAAATAATGGATGATAAAATTTATTTATTTTTTTATATTCATTTAATTTTTTACTAAAAAAAAAAACAATAATTTTCTTAATTCATTTTTTGGATCAATAATTATAAATTTTAGCTTGATTTTTTTAAATTAAATATTTTTTATATTAATTTCATTTTTTAATTAAAAATAATAATAATTTAGGCGCGCAGTAGCCTATCGGATCCGGCCCTTGCTACCAAAGCATTGGACCGGGTTCGAATCCGGCGTACACCAATGAATATTTTCAATATTTAAGTGTATATTATTCTGCTCAGCCCAAGAAATACAAACGAGTTCCAATCTCAAAAGTGCACCCCCTACCGTAGTCGCTCATGACCTTAGTAGTTTATGCGACTTTAAACAAATTAAAAAAAAAAAAAAAAAAAAAAAAATATAATTTTTTTCGGATAAAAAATCAAATTTTCAAATTAATTTTTTCTAAATTAGAAAAAAAATTTTTAATTTATTATTTTTTAAAATTGACAATTTTAATTCTAAAAAATAAATTTTTCTTAAAAAATTAATCTTATATATTTTTAAAACTCGTCGTTAAGTCCAGGGCAAGGGTGTATGAACGAGCAAGGACTCGTGTGTTCCTCAAATCCTCAATCTTCCTTTCATATTCCTTGACATCCTCTATTCAGCGTTTGGCATTATAAAGTAGAAGGTGAACGGTTGTCTGTTGGTGTAGATTTGCACCCACACCTACCCTCATATTCCTTGCTCGCGAGTGCGCATTTGGAACCGCGCCCTTACGCGAGCCAGTCCCGATAACGGTAGTCGTGCTTCACCCGCGGTTCGCGTGGCTCGACCATCCGCTCACAACACTAATCTAAAAAAATTACTCACCCGTCTGTGTAATAACAATCACCCCAAATATAAAAACTATTTAAAAAGAAAAAACGCGACTCGCTCTTGGCAACTTACCATTCAGTGAATAAATATTTCACTTAGTACCAATCGCAATTAAACGGGCACAATTTATCATTCATTGTTTTTACTTAAAACTACCGATCCAGTCTTATAATAATTATAAACTGTTAATTATTCTAATAATAATAATAATAATAATATGTATTTTAAATTTACAAACCCCCAGTGGCCTATTAAATAATTCAACCACGAAAATGTTGGCTTTAAATTAATTATTAAATATTCTACAACTCACTGGTATTAATTATTACGATAATGAATTTTATTATTCATTTTAATTTTATTATGACAAGTGAGACATTAAATTCTTCATTTTTTGTAATTGTGAATAAATTATTTTATTTTTAATTTATTTTATAATAAAAAATTGTGTTTATATAAAATAACAATGAATTTACGAGCCTAATATAAAAAATTAATTTTCTATCACAGTCTTCATAAATAAATTGTTAATATTTTAAAAAATAATTATTACTGTTATTAAAATAAATTTTATTGAAGAGTACAGAGTAGTCTTCAAATTAATTTATAAATTTTTATCAATCTTAAAAAAGTAAAATGAAAGTTAATAATCAGTTTTAAAAATAAAGCCATCAGTCACGATGTTTTTCATGTAAATTTTATTAAAGGTTGTACACTACTTACTGAGTACTTTTTTTTTTTTGTTGAATATCATACGTGTTAGATGTCATATGTATACAAAGCTTGTAATTAATTATTTTGTTCATATGTGGTTCATAAAATAAAATTAAATAGTGGAAAAATTTTTTTCTAAGAAAGAAAATTAATTAAATAAATTTTTTGTTAAAAAATTAATTAATAATAATAATAAAGAAAATTTATTTAAAAATTATTTGTTAAAAAATTAATTATTAAAAAAAATAATAATAATAAAAAAAAAAAAGACACGTGTGAATAATGTGTGAAATTTAAAGCACTTAAAAAATTTTTTAAAAAATCGGAAAAAGAAGATTGAAGAGGAAAAGTGTGAAAGGAAAAAAAAAAAAAATCGTGGGTGATGCGAGGTAGCAGTTCAGAGTTGCTGCTGGACGCGAGCGGGCAGAGCCACCGAACGACGACGACGGGGACCCTGACGGCGACGACGACGATCCACAATTTGTACAGCGGGCTGAACCACCACAGCCAGAGCAGCGGCGGGATCTACGACAAGCAGGAACAATCTGAGCTCCGTCGTCGCAAGCTGTTGGAGCTCGGGTTTGGAGCTTCCAGGCGGCAGCCGCCGAGGCGGACTTGCCGTCAAAGGTTCAACTTCTACGCGACCTCGGCCCTAGCACTGGTTGCGACCTCGGGCGGAGCCGCCCTCCTCTTCCTGGTCCCGCTGTACGTGGACCCCGCGATAAGCACCCTCGCCGCGGACTTCTCGCCCCATCCTGTTCTGTGCACCACTCTCAGGAGGGAGGAGATCCTCGGGATCTTCAACTGCACCTGGAGCTCCTGCAGGGAGGGCTGCACCAGTGATGTTTATAGATGCACTCATATTTATGTTACTTACTCGCCAGAACTCAATTTTACTAACGCCAGTTTGTGGAGTGAAGATATTTACGATGGTTTGTGGAGGGTGCAAGGGCGGGGAAAATTTTGTGGGCTCAGGAGACGATTATTATTATTATTTTTATTTTTTTTTTTTTTTTTATAAAAAGTTGAATTTTTTAAAAACAATTTAAAGAATTTTTTTGAGATTTTTTAGATTAAAATTTGGGTAACATATTACTGGATAACATATTACATAATTGAGAAATGACCTTGTATCTTGTGAACTATTGACATTTTTAAAGATATAAGCTCATCTCGATGTTACACTTATCGAGACCTTTCATTTGAGTACCCACATCAATTTTTCATATATTTATAAATATTATATATATGTATATAAGCGGCATGATGGCCGAGCGGACTAAGTCATTATCCCCGTTAGTTCGTTCGTGCATCTTGTCGTGAGGCGAGGGTTCGATCCCCGACGGTTGTTCGAATAGTTCCAACACCAACCGTCGGAGGTCGCTCCGGTAGCCGACTGTACTGGCATGGGTTTTCTCTGTGGTTTCCCCATCGCCACTATTCCAACAACCGATAGAAAGGGGTGAGGAATAGGGTGAATACAGTACAGAAAGCACAAGTCGGTCCACAGCCGCATTGAGAATAGAGGTTATGTGCAAAAAGAAGATGGCAATTATAAAAAAGCAGAGAACATGTTGATAATAAAAAGCGGAGAACATGTTGATTATAAAAAGAGTTGAACGCAAAAAGAAACAAGTGTTAGTTAAAAGGGCCGAAAAAGCCAGGTATAACATTATGAATGTTATATGATAACAAAAAGTGGCACTTGAGTGGTATTACTGTGGTAATAGCAAAAATGTGGAGAATATGGGTTACAGTCTTGTAAAAACCAAAATAGGTATACAAGTAAAAACGATATAATAATAATATATATATGTATATATGAAAAATATATCAAAATGCATGTGGGTACTCAAATGAAAGCTCTTAATGAATGTAATATCGGGATGAGCTTATATCTTCAAAAATGTCAATAATTAAGAAATGACCTTGTATCTTGTGAAATATTGACATTTTTAAAGATATGAGCTCGTCCCGATATTACACTCATCGAGACTTTTCATTTGAGTACTCACATCAATTTTTCATATATTTTATATATATGTATATATGAAAAATATATCAAAATGCATGTGGGTACTCAAATGAAAGCTCTTGATGAGTGTAACATCGGGATGAGCTTATATCTTTATGAACGTCAATATTTAAGAAAGTACCATGCAATTTAACAAAAGTCATTATTTAATAAAGCAAAATTTCATTTATTAATAGTTTATAAATCACGGCAGTCACAAAGTGACTACAAGGTTGCTAGTATTCAATTAATAATTTAAAAACATTCAATTAATTTGTTTTTTTTTATTCAAAATTTAAAGTCTAAGTAAACTATTAAAAATACGATGAAAATATATCAGTACTTTTTTTGTAGAAGATTAAATTATCCATAAAAAAAGGTCTGATATATATATTTTTTGTAAAGTTGATAGTTTAATTGGAATTTAAATTTTTCTGATATTCAATTAATAATTTAAAAGGATTAACTTTGATTTTTTTTAATTAAAAACTTTTATTCTAGATAAACTATAAGAGATATTATAAAAACATTTCAGTGCTTTTTTGTAGAGGATTAAATTTCCTATAAAAAAAAGTCTGCTGTTAATTTTCCGTAGAATGAATATTTTAATAGTTATTTCAATTTTAAGTACCAGAAAAATTTTCCTGCAATTTTTAATAATTTTCTAAATTAAAAATTTCAAAATTCTCTCCTGAGCCCACAAATTAAAAAAAATTTTTTGAATAAAAACTAATAAAAAAAAATTTCCAGGTCTACCAGAAGTGGAAGCAGTTCTGAAGGTTAATATAAAAGGATGTGGTTACCCGCCGGTAGTTGATTGTGATAATTTCACCCGGGAGCTTGGATACGAGGGTGCTAGATTTCCTTGCCACTACAGCCGCGTTAATGGCAGCATAGTGATGGCGAATTACAACCGCGAGGCGCAACTAGAAATAATAATCCACTTTTTTGCGGCGCCCTTTGTAGTGACACTTGCCACGAGTGTTGCACTCTGTGTTATGCACTGTGATTGCCGGTGCGTGGCACCCTCCCCTCGGCATGCACGTGGTATGAGAAAAATACGTACTAATAACCTCAGGTACAGAAATTGCAAATACAAACTTCTTACTATTAAGTAACAGTAATCGCATCGCAATCGCAATCGCAATCAAATAGACTTAGATCCCATACCAAATAATAATAATAATAACATTATTATTATCATTTATCATAATTAATTATACTCATTACATCAGTATATTATTTTACATATAAAAGCTTCTCACTGCTAAGTTACCTTTTTTAATTTTAATTTAATTCCCCCTCATTATTTTTATTATTATACATACTTTTTATTATTATGATTATTATTATATTTGTACAAATAAAAAGTTTATTAAATGTGAGCTGTGATATTATATGTTGACTGAGCGATAAAACAAAATAAATTTTTTTTATGACAAAAAAATTTATTTCTTCTTATTTTATTTCATACTCATTTTTATTTACCTGCTGATTAGTTTTAATTAGAGCTTCGTTTATTTATTAGAATTTTAGTTTAGAAAAAGTTTTTTTTTTTTTTTTTTTTTTCAATTTAATTAGAAATAGTTGGTATAAATTATTTGAGTAATTATTTTCATTGAAATAAATTATAAAGAAGTATTAAAAATTAATTTTTATTAAAAAAAAAATTTTTTTTATGTGCAATAAAATTTTGTCTAAAATAATGAATTTTTTATAAAATTATTTTAATTTTTTTTATAAATATATGCAAAAAAAAATTTAATAAATTTTAGAAAATTTTTAATTTTATTTTTTTAAAATAAAAAAACTTGTTTTTTTTTTCTTAAAATTTGTAAAAAAAATTTTTTATACAGAAATTTAGATAATAATTATTTTTATCTTAATTATTAATAAATAATTAAATGAAAAAAAATTAAATTATTTTTGTAATAAATTCATTTTTATTAAGACAAATTTTTTTGACACTCAGGATTCGAACCCGCGACTTTTATTTCCAATCCGCGATTTAAGTATCAAAGAATTTTATTTTTTTGATAATTTTTTTTCTAACTTATAAACTTCCTACTATACTTAATATACCTGGCTCACAAAAAAAAAAAAAAATACTCATTTAAAAATCGAAAAAGAGAAATAAAAAATGTTGAACTTTTTGTAAATAAATCTTAAAAAGTTGAAATAAAATCAAAAATAATCTAAAAAAATTTTTTTTCAATGAATTGCTAACTCTCCTGTGTTAATTTTAATTCTAAAAAAGTTTTAAAAAAAACTCGTGCTAGTTTAAGCGAATCGATACCTGAAAATAACAAACAAACAAACATCTAAGCATCATTACCAACCAGAACATTATCATGAATCAGATCAGTACACAGAGCATCAGTATGTGCTGGAATTAGAACGGATATTACTACCAATTAGGACACCAGACAAATAGAACGATTCTAAGAAAATGGTCAATAACTGGGACAATGTCATTAACTAGGTCGCCGTTAATAATTAGGAACATCAGTTATCAGTTATTCAAACTCCACTGGGACACTCGGAAATGATATCACGCCCAACTTTGAGCTTTCCTTATTATATAAGTAAAATCAGAAGGACTTCATTGTTTGTTAATATTAATGATCATCAGTACTGAGACGAGAGATCAATAAAATCTTAGTAAATATTAATTGAAGCCCGCGGGCGTTTACCTCTGATTAAAATTTAAAAATAACTCTAGCTGAGAAAGTTTATCAGAATTGTGAATAAATAATAATAATTAAAATTACTATTTCCAGTAATTATTTAAAAGTTTGGAGGCCGTTACATGACGCACCTTTACGTTGTGGTATACCCGTACCCCTGAACTTGTAACTAACAACTCTGGATGTAGTACATATACACAGTACACGACATTACACTATAATTTTAACATTATATGAAAAGTACGCACGGAATGAACTAGCCTTCTGTGCCGTAGGTGCATCCATACCCGGTTTACTGTTTATTTACGCTCAATACAAGGTGCAACGCCTTTTATTCCACGTATGAATATACATACATATTTACATACATACATGCATACAAATATGCACATCTATCTCCACATCGATTTAGTCGCTGTTTGTGACAGCCAATTTAATTAATTCATGACCTATTTTTTTTAGTTCATATTCTCTCATCGATATAACATCTGTTATTCTATTTGTTTTCGATAATTGCACTCTTAATTCAATTAAACATTATTCCAAATCACTAATTATTTATTATTCATGTTATTTGATATAATTATTCTTGACGATATTGAAAATAAAAATTAATAATGATAACTAGCAACCTTGCAGTCACTATGTGACTTCCGTAACTTGTGAACTATAAATAAAAGAAATTTTGTTTTAGAAAATAATGACTTTTGTAAAATTGCACTGTACTTTCTTAATTATTGATATTTTTAAAGATATAAGCTCATCCCGATGTTACATTCATCAAGAGCTTTCATTTGAGTACCCACATGCATTTTCATATATTTTTCATATATACATATATATAAATATCTAAAATATATGAAAAATTGATGTGGGTACTCAAATGAAAGGTCTCGATGAATGTAATGACAAGGTGAGCTTATATCTTTAAAAATATCATTAGTTCACAAAATAGCAATGTCAGTTCTTAATTATTGATATTTTTAAAGATATAAGCTCATTCCGATGATACATTCATCAAGAGCTTTCATTTGAGTACCCACATGCATTTTGATATATTCATATATATATAAATATATAAAATATATGAAAAATTGATGTGGGTACTCAAATGAAAGGTCTCGATGAGTGTAACATCGGGATGAGCTTATCTCTTTAAAAGTCTCAATAGTTCACAAGATACAAGGTCATTTCTTAATTATGTATCTAGAGATAGAGCATTTTCGAGTGCAGCCTAAATACTTATTATAATAAATTGACTATCGGTGAGAATGAAACAAAACCTTAAAAAGGCACAAATTCAAGCCAAGACCTTTGCAATTACACTTAATTTCACTAAAAAACTGATTTTATCATATGACTATTCTGGACACAAAATTTTTCTTCTTCTCTTAATAATATAGATAATGAATAAATAAAATTTCAAGATTATTATTCGATAAAAAATCACACCAGGAAAAATAATAATAATAATAGTAATAATGGATTTAAAATTTTTTTTAAGTTTAAATGCAACCAGGACTCGAACCTACGACCTTTAACTTTAACATTAGATTCAGTTTTTTTAAGAACATTTTCTAACAGCAAATCAAGTTATTTAAAGATTTTTTTTTTTAGTATAAAATAGAGTCATAAATAGGTTTTTTATCGCGAAGTTATACCGTCGTAAATATATAAAAATAGATCGATTGAAGTATATTGAAGAATCAGTGCATCTATTAACAGTGTTTTATTAATGAACAGCATACAAGTTGTAAATAAGTGATTCTTTTTATAATATTGACGACAATACGTCAAAAGTAGTAACTTCAAAAAGTTTTTAATTATTTATAGAACGCGCGTTATTAATATTATCAAGTGTTAATTGACTTTTTTTATTGTTATGTAATATATGGACTTAAAAGTTTAACTAGAGCAGTTTTAATGAAATTTTTTATATTGAAGTAAAAAATAAGTTACTATTGTTATTATTATTGCTTTATACCGGTTAATAGCTTCAGGTGGAAGTTTTTCAATTACGACCCTTTAAAGTCACCGTTTCACCACCTGGAGCATTTAAAAAATCCACTTTTATTGAACTTTTATTTCTTTTTAATATTATTTCAATGTATATTATTAATTTTTTTTTATTCTATTCAATTTATCTCGCAATAGGAACTTTATAAAATTTTATTTTTTTAACTTTCCATAGATTTTTTTTTTTTATAGTAGATCAGTATAATTTTGCTATGCATCGATTGTTGATGTATTATTGCATGGCCTTTGAAATGTATCATCAAAAATTAACACACAAATTTTTTTCAAACTGAAAAATTATTTTATTTTTAAAAGTCATAAAATTAATCAACTATAAGATAATTAAGGTGCAAACTTGAATAAGCTTCAATAATACTCAACACTCAGTAAACAGACTACAATTAGACCATCAGTACGCTGTTTGTGTGTAGGTCACTAATACATTACTTATGAACTACTAAACACATTAAACTACACAACAAGCAGTTAAAAGCCGAGCTTTTTATTTAATTAACGCCATCAATAATTTAAAAACAATTAAACTATAATAAATAAAAATCAATCAAGTTAATTTACGATATATTTCTCAAATATTATACAAATATAATTAATTATACAAAAAAAACTATCATTTTAAACAACAATAAAAGCCATTTAAATATTGAAAAAAATTAAGTCTAATAATTAAAAATTCTAATTTCAATGATGATTCATTATTTTGCACGTAAAAATTTATCGTAAAAAATATTAAGAAAGGTTACTAAATTTTTATAGTAAGAATTAAAAATTTTAATGTAGCTAATGTTAAAATTTACAAGGTAAAATAATAAATTTACAACGCACCGATAATAATATCATTATTTTTTCAACAAACTTCTAAATTTATAATATTAAGAGAATAAGAAAAATTTTGTTTCCAGATATGATAAAATCGGTTTTTTAAGTGAAATTTAGTGTCATTGCAAAGGTCGTGACTTGAATTTGTGCCTTTTCAAGGTTTCATTTCATTCTCACCAATAGTCAATTTATTACGATAAGTATTTAGGCTGCATTTGAAAATGCTTTATCTCTAGATACATAATTAAAAAATTACCTTTTATTTTGTGAACTATTGACATTTTTAAAGATATAAGTTCAACCCGATGTTACACTCATCGAGACCTTTCATTTGAGTACCCACATCAATTTTTCACATATTTTATATATTAATGTATATGAATATATGAAAAATATATCAAAATGCATGTGGGTACTCAAATGAAAGCTTTTGATGAGTGTAATATCGAGATGAGCTTATATCTTTAAAAACATCAATATTTAAGAAAGTACAGTGCAATTTAACAAAAATCATCATTTAATAAAGCAAAAGTAATTAAGAAATGACCTTTCATCTTGTGAATTATTGACATTTTTAAAGATATAAGCTCACCCTGACATTACACTCATCGAGACCTTTCATTTGAGTACCCACACCAATTTTTCATATATTTTAAATATTTATATATATGTATATATGAAAAATATATCAAAATGCATGTGGGTATTCAAATGAAAGCTTCTGATGAGTGAAACATCGAGATGAGCTTATATCTTTAAAAACTTCAATATTTAAGAAAGTACAGTGCAATTTAACAAAATTCATTATTTAATAAAGCAAAATTTTAATTGTTTTTAGTTTACAAGTCACGGCAGTCACATAGTGACGGCAAGGTTGCTAGCAATTAATTATTCTTTTTCTTGTGTTGATTAAAAAAAAAAAAAAATTTAGTCGTAAACTATAATGTGCCAACTGAGAAATCCACTTGAACTTTCTACCTAGATCGATGTCATTCAATGAAATAAAACGATCAAAAATTTAATTTCCCTGGGGTCTTGCTCTTAATCTTCTAAACATTAATTAATTATTCTGTCCTTGTCCTCCGAAAAATGAGCATGTACCGTGTCAAAACAAATTGACGGGAACAAATGTGTTAAATGTAACATAATTTATTTTTTTTTTTTTTTATTAAAAAAGCGATAGAATAATAGTAAACAATGATAGTCCAGTGTTACATGAATTATTTTGATTGTAGCGATCAATCGATAAGCAATAGAGTGGACCGAAGAGGACATCATGCACACTGCGACTGCGGAGAAGTGACACGGCCGTTATGACGAAGGGAGGAAACGACTGAAAGTGTATTAGCAACATCTCAGTCGGATCTTTAATGTTAGACATTAATAAATAATTATTTATTTATCAAATAATTAATAACTTCGAAGCTGCTATTTTGGATATATGAAACTAAACGCTGTCTTGATCTTCCACTTGGATTAAAAAACTATCGAGTAGTTTAAGTTATGTATATTTATTAATTAACTAACTAACTAACTAATTGAGTGATTAAACAATTATTGAGGGAGTACTACGACAACTCAATAGTCGATAGAGGATTATTATTATTCCTGTAATGTTATATTGCTGTTGATGAAATTGAGTGATTGAATTAGGAACATTTATACAAAAAAAAATTAATTTGATTGATTTACAAGAAAAATTTTTAAATTAAATCATTTTTTTGAGAAAAAAAATTTTTGAACCAAATTTTCAGATCAAATAAATTAATTTTTTTTTTTTTTTTTTTTTTTTTTAGAATAAAAAAAAATCAATTAAAACTATTTTCTGCATTGATAAAAAATAAATTTGATATAAAAATAAAATTTTTATCAAAAAAAAAAAATTTGGTAAATATTTACAAGTGGGATCATTTTAATTTTCATTTTTTTTAATGAAATTTCTATTTGATTTTATTAATATATATATTTTTTTTTTTGAAAAATACATAAAAAAATGAACAATTAAAAAAAAAAAAAGTTTATTATCACAATTTCAAAAATATTTATAAATTTTTTAGAAAATTCTGATATTCATCTTTTTATTTTTATGTACTTTTCAAAAAAAATATATCAAAAAAGATAAAATATAAATTTTATCCAAAAATATGAGAGCCAAAATTTTTTCCAACTTTTGAAGGCAAAAAATCTATCGAAATCTTTATTTTTTTTTCACGATATTTTTTATCATAAATGCGCCGTAAAAATAAGCATAATAAAAAAAACTTGAAAATGTTAATTTTTTACCTAGATACTTCACTTGTAAATAATTACCAAAAAATTAATTTGATTTAAAATTAAAATTTTTATTAGAAAAAGAATTTTTTTTTGCTCCAACCCGTGCGAAAAAAATTTTGATTTAAAATAAATTTAAGATTGAAATTCATATTTTACCTGATCTCAAAACTAATTCATATTTGTGTCAAAATATGAATTTCAATCATAGAATCAGAATTTTTTTTAAATGAATTAATTTGGTTTTAAATAATAAAAATTTTCCAAATGATTTTTTCTCAATAATCAAGTTAATTTTTTTCTGATTAAAAATTAATAAAATAAATCGAGTGAGATAAGAATTTTATTTAAATATTAAATATTTTTATTAAAAATACAATGGTAGGGGTAATATAATCAAATAGGAATCAAAAAGCAGGCGACTCTGCTAATAAATCGTTACCGTGCTTTGAATTTATAATTTATCATAAATGATAAATGATACATGATGTATAATATATATAGGAGTGTATGTTGAGAGTTAAAACCTGACTCAAGCTTGAGAGCTCCACCGGTATTGATTGATGCAATAATAATGATGGTGAGGGATTCGTTTGTTACGATATATGTCAACGTTACCCGTTATGTAATAATAATAATAATATTAATTATAATAATAGATAGGAAGATTGTAAAGTAATAAATTAAAATACGATAATAATTATAAAAACCAAATAAAAACGATGACAGTCATTGGAGAAATTTGCCCGCATTTTTGCTGTATCCGATTATTTTCAAGAGGGTTAAAGTGCTGAGGTCATGAATTATTTAGGCCTTGTTAAAGTACTTTGGCTGGGTTTTTACAGTCGGCTATTAGGGATGAATAATTTTTCACCTTAAATTTAATAGCGGCATTTTTTTTTATAAAAAAAATTAATAGGATTTTTTTTTATTAATAACATTTTTTTTTATGGTTCGCTTGAGACTCTTCAAATTTGATAGATATTTATCAAAAAAAAAAATTAAATAAGCTGCATCACTCCTATTCATGCCAGAAATGTGAGGTCAAAAGTTCAACGTCGCGGAAAAATCATAAATTTAATTGAAACGTTGCCCAGTCTTAGAAATTTCAATCAAATCATTTTTTTTTCTTTATAAAAAATTTTTAGCGAGCATAAAAAAATGGTATTAAATTTTTTTTTTTTAATAAAAAGTTTATATAGTAGGCCTAAAAAATTTTTTTATTATTATTTATTTATATAAAAATTATATACGCATATTTTGTCTTCAATAAAATATTTAAAAAATTTTTATTTTAAAATTTTAAGCGAATTGATTTAAAATTATTTTAAGGCCTAATATTATGAAAATTTGATTTTTTACAATAATTGTTATTTATAAATCGTGAAATTAAATTAATTGAACTATAAAATAATTTTTTAAAAATACAGCAAAAATGATAAAAAAGTATCTAAAAAAAAAAAAAATCAAATGAAAATATGTCTTCAAAATGGAGGATTACTAACTACCGTAGATTGTTCTTCATATCCTTGTATACGAAAAAGAAAAAATAAAAAAAAAATAATTGTATTTAGATATGTGTACAATATATATAAAAATAACAATAATAATAATAAAAAAAATAAAATCACCGTTTGTGGATTTAAACTCGGCTTACAAAACTATTTTAAAATAGAGCCAGTGGTGTTCATTGTGATTAAATATATAAATACCAAAACATAAATAATATTACTGTGCAATAAGGAAGCTTTTTTATTTTATAGACGTTACTATATTTATAATTAAATATTGTTAAAAGTGAATTTTTTATTTATATACAAACTCTGGAACTGAAGGTCACTTTTTGACCCAAGAAATTTTTTTTTTTTTATTTAGAATTACAATTACCGGACCAATTTATATTTTAATTTGACCTGAAAGCTCGCAGTTAATTTTTCTCTGCATTCTTTTTATTAATTCCCACGTTTTATCCTGTCAAAGCTCAAATATAATTTTAGTCATAAAAAATCGCAACATGCTCATAAAAAATTAACTTTTTCCCTTAAAAAAAAATTTAAGCTAGCTTTCAAATTTTCTGTTGTCAAAAAAAGGCCTTCAGTTTTTTTTTCCTAATTGTTATTAAAATTTTTTTTTTTTTTATTTTTCAACGACGAATTTACTGAACTAAATTACTGACAGGGTCTCATATAATAGTTAGAAAGACAAAACTAAAAATAGGGTTACGCGCTTCCTCAACTAAACTGTTTAAATATAAGAAAAAAAATATTAGATAAAAAATATATATATTGCCGAATCAAAATGATAAATTGTTAACAGAAATTTGATTCTGTATAATCAAATAAAACCCGTTATCAGTTTTATAAAATTTATTTAGAATTATTATTTATAAATTAATAATAATAAAATAGAATTCTCGTACTTGTATATTTATATATAACATATACTAAAGAAAAAAAATATGATAAATGAAATATATTGTTTGTATAGTTGACAACGAGTTGGTTAAATCTAAGGTAGAATAAAAAATCTAATTTTTTTAAGCTGTCTCTGTTTATTAATTTATTAAAAAATATAAATAATAATTTATTGTTTTTTAGCATGAAGAACACGGAAGAGGTATTTGTCATATAAGAACAATGCTGAAAGAGTACGACATTGAGCATTCACTGAATAGGAATGAATTAAGGGTAACACGACGCTTTACTGTAATTTATTAGAGTACTGCAAGCTGAGTGAAGTACTGCAGGAAATGTGTGACACTGAGTCAGTAATATTTAATGGAATTCCACCTTTTCTTCTCCCTCTCTCCCTCTCCCGCTCACTTTCTTTCTACTTAACCTCTTCTTTTGCACCTTCCCCTCGAGGATAAGGTTTTGTCCCTCCCACAGCAATGCAAATATAATTTTTTATAAAATTACACTTTATACTTGGCATACTCTCAGCTCCAAACGCTAAATGTCAATTTGCATATTCTTGTGGTCATTTATTATCATATCATTATTATTATTATTATTATTATTATTATTATTATTATTATTATTATTATTATTATTATTATTATTATTATTATTATATGAGCGTAATCTTGGGCGTATTATCATTTTCATTGTTAAATATTTTATTATAATATTGAAATATTATTGACTCCGTGACCCAAATTTAATATTATTGATTTTTTAAAAGGCATTTACGGGACCAAGTTTCAGCTAATGGAAAAGTATAATTTTGATTAATGGTTCCTTCGTGACCGTTTAGGAAAATTATACGTCAAGAGTGGCCAGCGCCGAGGGAGCTTCATTTCATGTTATCTTAGTTTAGTTTATGTTATATGACTTTTTTTAAAAGTTTTTTTATATACTCCAGAGATCAATAAGTTTATACACGCACCTTGTAAATTATTACGCACTTATTTTAGGTATATTTATTTTTTGGGGGAGTTTTACATTTTTGACAATCTATTTCCAGTTTTTTGGAAAGATTTATTTTATTATACTCAATTTGTTTAAATTAAAATGACAAAGTATTTTTTATTTTACAAATTAAATATTAAATGATTATTTAAAAGGAAAATAATTTCCTACATTTTTCAATTTATTAAATTAAAAATACCAGCTTAAAAAATTTTCTCCTTTCGAAATAATGAAATTTTTAAAAATTCTTTTTTTTGTCAAAATTTTTTTCCTCAACTCATTTTTTTTTATAAAGATACTTCTCCAAAAATTTAAAAACTTTCTGGCAATTAAAAAAAAGACCATTCGGCAGCCGAAATGGAAGTAGATTTCTTACTTCAATATAAATAATAAGTTTAAAGGCGTTTAATCAATTAAAAGTTTTAGTAATTTCGAGAAAAAAACCAATGCAACAGCAAATTTAATAAAAAGATAGCAGATTTTAATGTAATTTTTATTTGACATAAACAACAAAATATGAAAATTAAAGCTTATTTACAGAGCTTTCAGGTACATTTTACAGAAATTCAATACAATGAAATTTCTACACTGATAAAAAAATTATTTTAACCCAAGAGCCAAAATCTTAAACCAAAA